AATTTTATTTTTGGTGATTGAATAGTATCCGTTACTATTCAAGGGGGATATTTTGCAAAGGGGGTACTAATGTCAGCATTATACGGTATCAAGAATTTGTTGTATAAATTGATAGTTTATTTATTTTAAAAGAAGGTAAACAAATATCTGCAAGTTTTATTTTCAAGTTTGAAACTACCTGAATATAATATGATATTGCAAATCTCTATGAACAAATAATTATTTTATTAAAAATCGTTCTAGTAATATAAAATCTACAAAATTACAACAATTTCAAAAATATATTGAAAAAGAAATGAAAAATCATTTCTATTATACAATAATTTTTAAATATTCTGCACTTAAACATGTTATTGAAACAGTTAAAACCTATGGATTTGATGATTATATTGGTCAATGTATGACTTTTTTAATTGCACAAAATAATAGAAAAAAATAACTTATTTTTATTGAAATGGTATAAGCTATAACAAAAGTTATTGATAAGTTATAACATAATGTAACTTTTATAAGGGATATTGGAAAATATCATGAAAGTTTTATTGATTTTTTAATTGTATTTATGTCTATTAGTACTTTAGCAATACATTGGTTTATAGAAAATTTAACTGGTCAAACAATCTGATTTTTGCAATATGAAAGAAATAAATCCGATATGCATTATAACATTTATAGAATAAATCTATAAAAATTTTCAGATATTATTACAATGTAATATAAAACATATAATTATACTGGTTCTACAATATATACAAAAGATCAAATAAAGATTATAGAACTAATTAAAATTTGTAGGTAATACTAAAAATAGATTAAATATATATTGATTGATAATATTATAATTCTAACAATAATAATAATAAAAAGGCTTTATAATAAAATTAGTAATTTTAAAAAAGCAATATATATTACTATTTATACTCTTTCAGTTTGTATTCCTGGAATATCACCAATTGTAATTACTGTTATTCTATTTAATCAAACTGAGAAAGTAGAAATTAACACTTATAATAATAATTTAATTATTAAAGAATTAAATTATGTAGGTATCATGATAATTAGTTTATATTTTAATGAAGCTACTTTTGATAGAAATTGGTTAGGTGAGATTTATAATAAAAATCCAGCTTTTCTAAAGAATTATACTCAAACAGATAAAATTTTAATCGAAATTAAAAAAATTTATTAATAATTAAACTAAAGATTTTTTTAATTTCTTAGAATAATATTATATTTAATAAAGTAGACTGTTTAATTACTTTACATTTGATAAATAAGTCATTGCCATTTATTTGTAAAACTGATGTATATCATTGTATTAAAAAGTGTTAGTAAAGTATTGTATGCAAAAACATACAATTTTGCTTATATTACTAATAAAATTTATTTTATTATAAGGATGGAATATGCATAATAGTGAAATAAGTATGTGTTCTGTTAGATATTACATTATTTATAGATATTACAAATTGTTCTATAAAAAATGGTGATGATGAAATATATGCTGATGCATGTTATCATTTTTTTTGTGAAATTTTGTTAGAATCATGGAAATTATATAGTATGACTCATATAGATCATGTAGGATTTGCTTAGAATATATATGTCTTTTTGTAGGAATGCAAAGTAAATCTGGCAACACGTAATGGAAATAAATTTGAAATATCATGACAATCATACAATTATTTTATTTATTTAAGATTAACTTTAATTTTATTAATTTAAAATTGGCTGAATTACTATTTTGATTATCCTTTATGTTTATGGATATTTTTAATTGCTTTTCTTGAACATATCAGATTTCTTATCAATAAACGAAAAAAATTTAAAATTTATTATGATTAAAATGAAAGGTTTGTATCTTAATTAGAATTTTTATTATTCATTAAGTAATTTGAATATTTAATTTATATTAATTTATAAATATAATTTTTAGATGACTTAATTAAACAAAATAATTTATCAATATTTAAAATAATTAATAGCTATTCAGCATTTCATATTGAATAACTATTATATTGGATAATTCAAATTTAATTTCTATTATATTAGCTATTTATAGATAACAATTTATTCGTCTTGAAATACCAGATAAGTAATTTATCTGGTATCTGTAAATCCTTTTTAAATTATTGTTTAATTTTTTAAACTATTATTTACTTAAAATCTTTTTCTTTTACAACTCTTTCTTTTTGATTCTTTAAATAGAATTCTATTTCAAATCTATAGCTGAAAAGCTTTCAAAGGTTCAACAAAGCTATGTATTATTAAATATAATAAAATGTAATGTAAAATGAGTCAATATTTTAAATACATGACAAAGTTATAAAAATGTTAGCTATATATTCTAGAATCAGTTTTTCTAATAAACAAATAAAAAAGAAAATGTGTGAGTCTATATATGATATGAGAATAATAGAAGGTAAAAAATACTCAAGGGTTTTCTTTAAAAATGCTATTACCTCAATAAGCTGTTATCTTAAAAATTTCATATCATGATAGAATTATAATCTTTTGGATAAAACAATATTTTCAAACCTTCATATAACACTTAATAGTATTTTAAAATAATAAAAAGATTAGAAATAGGTACTGCAAAATTACATGAAAAGAATTAAAATATTTTATATTATGATGCAATGTTTTCAAATAATTCTAAAGAATTGCTAAGAAGAGCTTTCTTTTAGATCTGTCTACTAGAATGTCTATTTAAAATTCTATTGACATTTAATTTAAATTATATAGTTATCCAATGATTTATTCAACGGTTTTAGCAAGGCTTCACAATTATTAAACAAAAAAAATAAAAGGCCATTGCAAGAAATTTCTCCTTCTGAATCAAATACAAATAAAAAAAAAAAAAAAGTAAGGAAAGAAATAAAAGCCATTATTCACATTATAATTAATTTGTTTTATGCAAATTTTAATAATAATAATGCCTGATACACGATTTTATGCCTGATACATGATTTTTATGCCTGATACAAGTTATATTATAGTCATTATTAATTATAAAAATCACGGGATACCGGATAAATCACTTATCCGGCACTTCGAGCCGAATAACTACCGCTACCTACAAGGTAGCTAATAACATTGGGAACCAAATTTGATTTTCCCAATATAATAGTTATTCGGCACTTCGTGCCGAATAACTATTAATTATATAGCACCTTAAACCAGCACCTTTGCGGTCACGCACTTTTAAAAATGGATGATGGCGAATAATCAACATCCATATCATCGGTTTCTGACCTCTTACGTACGAAAATTTTAATATAATTTCAAACCTACCATTATTTGCATCATCAATATTTACAATCAAACGAACTCAAAAGTAATAATAAGGTAGGTTGGCTTATTGTTCGGTTAGCCTTTTTTGAAACATGTTATCATGATATTAATCGATTTCCACCTCTATATAGATGTTCCAAAATAATCGGACATATTACATTTTTTGATCCGAACCTCTTTGCTGAGAAAATCTTTGACCATCATCACGCGTAAAATAGACGCGGTGAATTAATTACATGTCTTAACATCACGCGTCTCAACAAAATTTGACGTAAATGTGAGAAAGCAAAGAAATAATTTGTTCAAGGGATTCGCATTAAATGGCATAGGATCCGCGTACTTCACTTTCTCTTTGATAGCATCATATTTCGTTATTTAATATGACTTTAATAAAGTTTGCCTATATCGGGTTCTATTGGATGATGTAATCAGAGATATTATGTAGTTCGTGTAGATCAAGATATTTCACGATGACTCAAAAAATAAACCTCATACTTCAGACTTATAAATGCGAATCAATAAAGTTTATAAAAGTTTATTCAGACTTACAACGCGTTCACATAATCAATGATAAGAATAAATTACATATATAGCCAATAAGTCTAATCTCATGCATGCGAATGTCATAAAAACTATTTATCTAGAACTTTAATAATAAAAGATAATGGGTAACGAATAAAAAAACGCAAAGTCAAAGTTAGAAAACCTTTTTACTGATAGCAAGGTGCGTTGTACTATCAAAGGTTGACTTCTAGGGATGGATATGAAAAACAGACTTGAATATTTTGAAGGAAATAATTTTGAAGGAAATGAAGAAGAAATTATGTCTTCCCTTAATACACTTCTATTAGGTAAAGTTAAATGAAAATTCTTATATAAATTTACTAACCCAATTTAAATGGCATCCGAGTCATCCGAGTTATTTCAAGAAACTATTCGTAAACTTGCTCCTCCTGATTTTGGTCAAACCTTTATGATTCGCAAATTGTTTGCAAATTACCACCGGATTCTATTGATAAAAATGAGTTGAATTATGAACCATTTTCGTGTTGAAGATGATCAAATTGTATTAAAGAACAACGTGAAAAGTGTTAATATTAAATGATGGTAAACCAGTGGAAGTTGCGCTAAGAAAAGGGGATGAATATACGGGTAATATTAAGATGGACAATTGTCCAAAATTTTACGTTTATGCAAACTTCCAAATGGAATACTTCATGGAATAACAAAACATCAAAGAATCATATCTCGAGATGATCGAATTGATCGAAACAGACCGCAAGAATGAGGGCATTAATAGAAACATTATCATTGGAACACCAGGCACCGGTAAAACACATTTCTCCTTATATTTCGCTTTTTATATAATGCGTCGGTATCAAGAAACAGATATCATTTATGAACAATTATGCAAAAAGCACTGATAAAGACTTGATTCTTCAAATAAAAGCAAACAAAAGCGTAATGATCATTTCTGACCTAATATCTGAACATCCAGTAGATAGCTATTACATTGCAGATTCAATAGCGCCTACTGATGTTAAAACCAAATTCACATTTTTATTAACAACGCCAAGAAATGGGTTGTGATCTAAGAAAATCAAATTTTTGACTAAAATTAATATCTTATTACATTTTAGTCTAAATGTAATAAAAATTAAGATGCTATTAAAATCTCAATTTTGATAAAAAATTCTCAGAACTTGATTTTCTTAGATCACTACCCAAATGACCGGTGGCATGAATTTGAGAAGCAAGGTGGTGTTTATTAATAGAAAGGGAAATCTTGGATGTATGGAAGTGGAACCACAATCATATACCTGAACGAGTCAAGGAATTGATTAATGTGTGGGGCTGTGTACCACGACGGATTTTCTGTGAATACAATAAGGAACCGAAGATTAATGACCATAATAGCTAAATGCAATGTTCATGATTACATTGATAATTAAGGGAAAGATTTAGGAGAAAACTATTCATGGAAAAGCAATTCACATTCGCCCTAAACCAAATTTTAAGGATAAGGAGTTTATTCCTGCTTCAGAAATTATTTCTAAGGCTTTGAAAAATACAAAAGATCTACAAAAAGACAGTATTGTTGCTCCGTTGTCTGGAAAATTCTTCGAAACGGTTTCTCACGATTTATTGCGAAAGGTGGAACATTTAAAGTGTGAAACTTAAGCACTGGTAACTGCGAATCATTACAACTCCAAGGTTTGAAACAAAATGTATTCCATAATATTGATGAAATAGTTTGGATGGAATATAATTTCCTGACACGAACAATCTTGAAAGCTTTTGATGCTCTTACGCCTTACTATAATGGATGTAGTCATTATTTATATCAAATGACAATCGCAAAAAAACATAATATTAAGGTAATATTGGTTTTTATTTGCTATGTATTAATTACGATTAAAAACTGAGCTTTAAAAATTTTATTGCTATTATTTCTGTATGCTTATTTTATATATGATGTGGGGCGACAGAAGTGTGTATTAAGAATGTGCAGGCACTTAAATATTTTCCTTAGTGATGACGACTCATTTTTTTTTAGGTAATAAATAGTTGATTGTTACAAACTGTCTTAGTTTGCGTTCCCAGAAAAAAATCCGTCTTAGTTTTAGGACGTCACACATATTTGCAGAAATCTTCAAAAAATGAACCCGTTATACATAATCTTGCTAAAATCGGTAATATATATTCCCGGACTCGCGATCGATACATTATAGACAAATAACAAAACCCAAAATACTTCATGGTTGCACAGAATCCGAAATCACGAGTTGTTGAAATTTTTCACGTGCCCTTTCCGGAAATCCGTTCATATTATATAATAAACTTCAATGTAAGGTCCGTATGTTCGTTCATTTTGGAATGCTTGCAAAAAGAGCTTTATATGTTGTTCCACGAATATTCAACGCATAACCTTTTTTTCTTATTGCGAAAGTAACTGGTATTTGAATAATTAAGTACACATGAACCGTGAAAATCTGAATTTCTGCATGCATCTGCATCAATGCTTTTATAATTTCATTAACTGGTTTAAAAAATTCGCGTATCGAACCAAAATTTAAATTTACCCCATGTACTATAAGTTAGATGAAGCAACATGTATTTTACCCAAAGTTGTGACTCGATTTAAAATAGAACTTTTACGAATATGTCATCTTTAATAATAACAAATATCATAAACGCGTTAGGCTAATTTATTTTTCTTAATTAATCCTTTGAATTTTTATCACAGAAAGTTCCGTATCGTAAGATTATCCGTTTTTTTTCAAGAATATGAAAATAATATTTTTCATATTCTTTTTTTTTTTATTTTTTTTTTTAAAAAAGGCAAAATAAGCGAGTGGAAGATGAATAGGAAAATTTTACATTTTTTTTTTGTTTTAAAAAAATTCGCAGTGCAAATATTACCTTTAAATAAATTTTGTGAGTGATTTCCCAATATTAAATAATAATTTGATACAGTATATTATTACGGTAAAATCCGAATGCTGCATGTATTGAGACAAACAATAACGCGTTACTATTTATTATGATTGATAATTATCCGAAATGATTTGTTTTTACATTCTGGCAGAATTGTTTGTTTGCTACTTTTTACGTAAAATTATGAAAAACTACCATAAATGGCGTGTAAAACGAACGGATGCTCGTTACATTATTTATCCCTTGGAATTCCTTGGTGCGTGCGCGAGAACGAAGGTAATCACCTCCGAAGGTGTCTATTCTTCAATAAGAACCCTTCAACATACATGATTAAAGCGATTGATTTCGATTTCGTAATTGCATTTTATCTAACCACTTTTATTTCTTGGCAAAAAAAAAATTAATTTCACTTCGTTTGAATCGAAAGTTGCGCCACCTTACATAAATACCCGCAGTACCATGCCTATACCAACGCTAATCGGTATTTAATCGGTGACCAAATCGGTAATCGCTAACGGGTTTTGTATCATGTATTATAATCTGGCGTAGTAACATCCAATTCTTTGTTCTCGTTCTTGTACAACACCAACTATAATAGAAAAAATGTAGTAGTTCATATAATTTCCGGTTAATCAATTCCAAGAACAATGGGAACAAATAATAGGAATTCAAAATTGTTCAAATTCAGGTTCAATTCGGGACCTTTATTTTTTTTTTAAAAAAAAAAAAAATTCATCATAATATGATGATGATGATTTCATTATCTTACATATCTTTCAATGATTTTCTAATAATTGAATAAAACAATATTTCACAGAAAAAAGAAATGGAGTCGAAAAATTCAAGGGTCCAAGTTGTCGCACGATGAATCCCACATGGTGTTAAGGCAAGCATAATTATCACATTTCTGACCTTCCATGCGTTATTATTTAAGTAATATTAAAAATGACATCTATAACGAAAAAGACAAAAGGACGTTGCACATATTATGGTGGTAGAGGTACTTTCAAACATTTGATTAATACATTTAGGGAAGGACGTAATCATTGGGTGCGTTACGACTGCGTTCAAGTTATATGCATATATTTTAAAAAGAGGTTTTCGAAAAAATTTTTCACATGCTTCAAGGTGTGATTGAAATTACACAAACTACAATAAGTGAATTGGTGTATAATTAATTATAGATAGCGATATCAATTTTTGAAACATTCTTTTATTTAAAAAGGTTTTCTTGAATTTATTCAGGATTTCACATGTTATAGCATACTTTTAGGTACTTGGGGGGTTTTTTTCATCATGATACCGAATATGAAAAAAGGAATTCTTTAATGGTGTGATTTTAATGGAAAAAGTGTCAAAGAAAGGTAAATAAGGAAACGGCTGTTACAAAATGATATGATTCAATAAACTCTATTAATTAACCAAATCAGATAATTTAATTAAGTAATCATAAATATACATTACATATTTTCTTATTTTTAATTGAAATCTGGCGTAATTAAAGTTTAAAAAATCCACGGCGCCAAAAAGAAGAAAAAAAAAATGGACAATTTTTTTTAAAAAGAAATATTTTATGCAGATTTTTTTTATTTTTTTAAAAAATAAAAAAAAATTCATTTGCCCGGTACAATATTTTTAGTAAAGGTTAATGCTTTGGATGGTTGAGAAATCCCTTCATGCAAACAAAAAGAAGTTCGTCTAACCATTTTCAGAAATTAAACGCGTTTGAAAGAAAATGATATTTCAAGTGTATGCATTTGGTTTATTCGTAAAAGCGTGTGATTTTCTCCTGCTTTTTCGTAATATTAAACCACGTGTAAAATGAGGAATTTATTATATGCATATATTTTAAATCCATTTTATTTTTAATTAATCATTTATTTATCTAATTACAAAAAAAAATGAACTTTTCTCCGAGTATCAATTTAAAAAAGGTTTGTGTTTCTTTGTTATGCCACCATTCTAAAGTTCACCTTTGACATATGTTAAATCTTTAAAAATCAAGCAAGTGATTAACTTTCAAAGCAGAGTTGTGTAAAGATGACTAATAAAAAACGGTTGATTTAGAGATTGAGAATTTTCTCATGAGAAAATAAAAAACTAATAATAAAAAGAGTTATTTTAAAAATCCCTCAGTTCTTTCTCATCGTCACACAGTTTGATTAGTATCCCTAAAAATAATGATAATCAAAAGTGTTACTAACCAATGAAATAAGATACTGTCACCGCGGGGAACATACTTTTATAGAAGATATTTTGATGTCGCGTAACACCAACAAATGATTTGTAAGAATCTTTGGGAAAAAACTTGTTCCAAAATCATTTGTGATTATTAAAAACGGATCAACTTTATCCTAGTTGAGGTAAAGATTAACTTGATACATGAATACCATTGAGGAATTACTTTATGAGAAAGTTGAAGTGATAAACACAAAAGATTGATCAAGGTTTGGCAAGTGGAAAAAAACGTGTTGTGACAATTAGGTTGACATGCGAATAGATGAATCAACAGATGTATGTATGCTGAAAATCTCTCATTAAATTCTTTACAGGATGAGATCAATGACAATGGAATCATTAAAATTTTCCACAAGTTGGAACAGTCACTTTGATTCGTACATTACTTTCTTATCATCGTCATTTAGCGAGGAAGGGAGATAAATGTTTATGCTGTTGTGATGAAAATTAAAAGGTATCGTCTTTGTGCGTGATTGTGTGCAACGATTATAATTGTTATTTTGTGAACCGTGAAAAAAATGAACCATTCAAACTTGTCTGTTTATACACTAACTAAAGTAGAAATATGGTTCAAAGGATCACGAGAATCAAAAGAATTCTTATCAATTTTCCTATTGTTCGTTCATTAATGAATCTTTTTCAGATGCCCCTAAAAATTCCTTTTTATTAAAATTAATACAAAATGGGAGAATAAAAATAATGACGATAAATTTGGTGGTGATATGGTATGCATAAGCCGAAATTTGGAGGAAAGATGAACATCAACAAAAAAATCAAGAAATTATCGGCTAAATTTTTGGTAATATCCTAATATATACGGTATATGTATAAATTTATAAATATATGCTTTTAATGGATGTATTTGAACATTAAATAGAAATGATTTGGTCTTTCAATAAATTTAAAGTTTCATTTACAAAATCAATCATTATTTTGGGTGACAAAAGAAAGATTATATATTATCATAAAATCGAATCCTTTTTAAACCAAAGTTGAAAGGAAAAAAAAAAAATCCTTTTTATATTACATATTTATACTTTAAAAAAAAAAAGTGATGTGATATATTTTTTTTATACTATGTCTATTGTAAAATTATTTATATTATGCAACTAATATAAAATCATAAATGCAATAACACACACTTATTTTTATGACATTATTGACAGTTTTTACATTACCGAAAGCTTTCCACATTTAGATTAGATTTTCGTTTAATGACAAGCGTGGAAAAAGTTTCACAAACATTTTTTGAGTTTTTGGGAAATTCCTAAGTATAATAACACCTAATATAAATACTACATTAGCATAGCATGTATTGATTGATTCATTTAACGTTTGACTGAAATTTGACAGCACAATCGTGATTCGATTTCACAAGTAAAGATGATTTTAAAAAGTTTAGATTCGTTCGGTGAATAAGGTAAATGATAGAACGTAATTTCTGTAAAGATAATTTGTTAGTAAATCTTTACGCCTTTGCTGCTTCATTACATGTTACCTTTAAACCTTGTAAGAAAGGAAAACAATAAATACAACGCCAACGTACAAGGCGTCATACATGGTCTTTATCAATAACACAGAAATCGAATGTATTGCAAACTCGGTAAATGAGAATTCTTCAACAGTTGTGTTCACACATAAAAAAAATAAATTAAAATTTAAGATTTCGTTGAATAAGACATCCCAGGCATGAAACAATGAAATGATGACTTTTTTTTGATTAGTAAAAACAAAATGGAAGGTAAATTTTTTCTGAATTCGGGCTCATTGACTTTTCTTTTTTTATACAATGATTCCAAACATGAGAAAGTCATATCAGGTTTTTTCAGATCTTATTTAGGGTGTAATAATAATAACCATTTTTACTTTTAATGTAACGAAATTTGTAAGTGGACAGGATAAAATAATTTGGAAAAGGGTAAAGTGGGTTTCGTTTGGTAATACAACATTTGATAATTAATATCTTTTTATTACTTTCCGAATTTATTTATATTTTATTCAAAGGTAATTAAAAGAAAATAAATGCGTCACAAGTCGGGAAACTGTTTGTGATAATAACCCGCCAAACATATATATAGAATAAACTCCTTATTTTTTTTTAAAATTCCTTTGCCACCTTCTCACCAATTTTTTTTCTCAAAATTTTTACGCTTGAAAATTTTCTTTTTCCTCTTTTTTTCTTTTTTATAAAGGACGATAAAACTTGCTGTACGCGTTAGTAAACGGAAAAGACGTTATAGTAACGAGTTCATCGGAACTTTGTGATAAAATAAATAAATAACTCGGATATAAAATCGTCTCGAATAAAAAAAGTATTAAAATCATAAAATTCATAAAGCATATAAAACTCGTCATCTCTTTCTTTGAGATAAATAAATAAATGTTCCGGCCCGTTTTATTAAACCATGTTTTTACGAATGAGTATTCGTTCACCAACCATAATAAACCTACAAGTAAACTCATAAACTTTGGGTTATAAACGCGTCATATAAATCATGAATATCGCGATTTCGTTTGATGCTAATAACTTTTCAACTTTTTTATTTTTTTGTTTCTCACCACTTTTTATTAAAAAACACTGCACACATTTTTTTTCGGGAAAATAAATATACTATTTACTTTTATCACTGTTCTATCAAGAATATACTCATTAATTTGATTGAGGTAATTATAATAAATTAATACTTTTTTTTTTAATGCTAATAATATATATTATTAATAGTCAAAATCAAAAAATATCGGTTATAAAATGATGCAATTTTTAAAAAAAATTAATATGCTAAAAAAAATTTACAAAGAAAAAAAAATGATGCTATCAAACAAATTTTTTGAATTTTTTTTTTGTTTTTTTATTATTAGTTTCCTCTCGTTAATTTGATTAATTCTTAAAGCATAAAAAAAAAATTTACTAAGAATTTTTTTTTTCCTTAATCATAATCATAATCATATTTTTTTTTTTTTTAATAATATAGTTATATATATCTTATATTAACCTTATTTCTTTTCTTTTCAGAAAATCTTCGATTTGTTTCATAAATTAATATCATAATCATAAAACGTGAATAATCATATAAAAAAGGGTAGTGTTATCATAACATTTTGTCTTCTTTTGCTTCTATCGAATATAGATAATTAAAAAAAAAGAAAAAATCAAAAACCACACACAGACGATGCGTTTGGTTTTTTTTTTTTTGATTAAAAAAATGTATGTGTATGATTTTTTCTTTCTTCTTTTTTTTACAATCTTCTATGTGGAATGAAGAATGAAAAAAAATTTTTTTTTTCTCTTTAAAATAATCATCAAATAGATCACGACAAAAAAAAAAAAATGAGAAAATGTCCTCCAAGAGAGACGTGATGAAATTTTTGATTGAAAAAAAAAAAATGTACAAAAATGCAAGTGTTTTTTTTTTTTTTTTTTTTAAAAAAATGCTTTTTTTTTGATCAAAAAAAATTGATGATTATGTAATAATGCAACAAAAACTAATTTTTCTTCATGCTCTATGACGGGAAAAGAAAACAAAAAAAAATGCAAGAGAAATGCCAAAAAAATAAATGTATATAAAAAAAAATACAGGGAAAATTTTGTTCCACTAAACTATAGAAAAAAATAATGATTTCACTACGAACGTAAATGAAGGGAAAAAAAAACTATAAAAATGAAAAAAAACCAAACACATTTGATAAAAAAAGAAAAATACACCACACACACAAGTTCCACGCGACATCCTGAAAACACACAAAAACACCAACTTCATAGGCAAGTCTAGAAATAAAAGATTGACCTCCTAGTGATAGGTAAGCGCGTAAATATATTTCCAACGCGTCCATCGGTTAAAATCCATTGAATGTTTGGATGCATGGCTTTTGAGGAATAATAACTTGTTTCATAAAAGACGCGTGATAGTAAATTGTGTGATTATTATTATTATAATGCGTCTTTCGAGCTTATAATCTGTGAGTGACATTGAAAAAGAACGTAAGAAAAAAAAGAAGATTTTTAAATAAATTGCAACATTAAGGATATTATTTTATTACAGGAATACGAATTAAGTATATTATTAAATTATTAAATTAAAAAGTACATTACTAACCAGATATGGAGGTAAAATATAGAAGATTAGGGAATTAAAAAGTGTGTTACCCTATATGGGGAATGTTTAATAACGCGTCTGATTAAATATATATCTGCCGCGCTTTGTGTCGGTGTTTTCGAGTGCAGGAGATTGACAAAAATTTTTGAGACCAAAGTCGGTATAAAAGGGGGGTTGACTAGGGTTAAACTCCAAATTTCGTCGATGCGTGAGACCAGTTTGTGTGTTGGGTGTATTAATAAATTAAAAGAATAAAGTTGTTTGTAATGATTTGGTGCGAGCGAGCTAACATGCTGCGTCGCTTGCAATGCTTGTGAATGAATGCTGTGCGAACGTGGTTTGAGATTGTTTGTAAAAAAGAATAAAAAAAAAAGAAAATAAAAAATATACTAAAACAGTGAAATCACATATTGAGAAACATTTAACTATATTGAATTTTTCATTCCTAAAAAAAAAATTTTTTTTTTTTGTTGCCTAACGTAACTAATCATAAATTGTAACCTATCTAAAATCTATCTTAATTGAGAGAAAACAATCATAATTTTTAAAAAAAATGAAAAACGAAATGATTTTAAAAGGGGTTACATCATAAAAAGTCTTAAAAAAAACAATGCGAAAAATCTATAAGCATTGAATAATAGTAAAGTGGAAGATGATGGCTGACCCTCGCGCTCATAACATAGTGTTGTCAATTTGCATCAATGTGTAATGAGCCCAAGGATCATAAAATGATGAAGAAAAATTGAAGTGAAACGGGGGGATGCATAAATGCATATAGGGGAGGAATTGCTTAAATTTATTTATTGTAACATAAAAAAAAAATACCAAATATTTCATAAGAGTATAATCGGAACCAAGACGGATTCGTAAAATAAAAAATCGGTTTTGAAAAATCGTGATATTATGATAAACGAGTTGATTTAATCAAATATCAGATAACTTAATTGCGAGTTCCAGTTATGAATGGATGCTATTATGAAAAATCAAATGAGTTAATTAGTTTTCGAACCTTTCTTCAACCTAATGCATTCTTGATAAATACCTCTAACAATTTCTCGGCAGACCATCTATTTTCGGGAGTCCTTGCAAAACATTTTTCCAAGAAATCAACGGCTTCCCATCCGATATCAGCTTTCTTTCGGAGACGATGAAAACCATATGGCATTTCACCCCGGCGCAATTTGTCCATGATTTCGTCATCGCGAATGCGTCCCCAAGCGGCCTTACCAGTTAGGAGTTCTAAAATGCAGACACCAACAGCCCAAATGTCAACTTTAGTATCATAGGGTCGGTCAGGTCCAACGAGAACAACATCAGGAGCCATGTATGGGATCGTGCCAACCATTGCGGTAGTCGAAGTAGGGGTCAAAGACGAGATACCAAAATCAGCTATTGAACGTGAAAAAAAAAAACAAGGGATTATTAGTTAGAATTTCTTTTTAACTTAACCGAGGGCTCATTTTAAAATAATTAAAAAAAAACATACCCAATTTTATTTCATTGTTTGCATTGGCTAAAATGTTTGAAAGTTTGATATCACGATGAATGACTCCATTGGAGTGCAAGTGTTCCAATGCGCTCAAGAGCTATTTAAATAATAATAATCGTAATGTTAATAATGTAATATACAAAATAAAAACCTTAATGCATAAAATTTGAAAAAAAAAGATGTATTTATTTACCTCGCCGGCAATGCGTCCAACTTCCCGTTGGGTGATTTTACCAGCACGACTTGTTACATCGCCACGGGCGCATTTTTCCATTGCAATCCAAACTTCGCGTGTTTTACCATCCCAGCGTAAGAAACTTTCTTTGCAATCGACAATGTTTTTGTGCTTGAGATTCTTGAGAACGTAAATCTCATTAAAAATGAATTCCAAAGAATAGGAAAGAGGGACAATTTTGATTGCACATTCTTCACTGGGATTAGATAATGGGTGAGCAGTATAGACCTTTGCAGATGAACCTTCATCGATAACCTTTTTAATATCGTAAGTTTTGAGTGGGTCTTCTACAATACTATTTTCGGAAATCAGGCGAAGATAATGTTGTAAAGTGGCAAAAGGTTCTTTGTCGTTATTGGCCAATGGTTGAGGTGGAGGTGAAGAAGTAACAGCAGTTGAAGAATTATCAGATGATGAGTCGGAATTGTTGGAGTTTTGACGAGGTTTACGGGTATAACCAGAGGCATTTCGACTAGATTCAGAAGCAGGAGTAGATGCACGCGATGTTGAAGCAGATGCCGGGGATTTTGCTCGAGCAGTTGAAGCGTTTGAACTTGGGGTTGAAGCACGGGAATTTGGAGTTGATCGTTTAGCAAACAACTGATGATTAACTGAAGATCCCGAAAGACGAGTCGTAGTAGCAAACGTCGGTGATGGAAGACGAGTAACGGGGGCAGTGTCGTTAATATAATAATCATGACCAGATGAGCCTGAGGTTGATTCAATATCAATTTTAATGGAGTTTTTTGTCGTATAAGAGGAATTACCGGTTTTTAAAGCAGAAGTGTGAGGGGTGACAAATTTTTTGTTGGATTGTACATAATTATAATCAGCAGAATTATCAGAGTGAGTGGTTGTGACCGAGGTTGGATTGTTATCATTTAAACCAGTTTTGATCGGATTTCTATTTTGAACCATACCGTTGTTATAAGAGGATGAATTTAAACCATTATTGTTGTTGGGTTGAGCCAAAGAGTTTTTAGAGGATGATTGACCATATAAACCGTTAACCAAATTTTGAGAACTAAAAGAATCAGTTCGTGTGGATGATGGAGAGGTTACTGATGAGGGGTAAGAGTTATTGTGAGAGGAAGAGACTGAGAAGGAGGCGGAATCGTCAGATGAATCAGAATTAACAGATGACATTGAATCCCGATGTGCGTGATAAGAAGAAGGATGACCATTAGAGAAATAATCTTGAACATTATTTTGAGATAGTTGTTGTTTTTTTGTTGAAACTTTGCCATTAACCTTTGAAGATACCGATTGGCCGTTGTTGATAATTTGACTATTTTGACCTTTATCGGAAGCCGATGAATTTTCAACATTAGAAATTTCTTCATGAGCACTTCCGATACCGGAATCAGAACCAATAGAATCTACACGAAAGCGACGATTGATACGACGATGCGAAGATTTATTATTATAATCCTTAAAGTTATCATTGTTGGGGGCGTTGGCCGTAAAATTTTTTGAGGGGATGATACCAATCGATGCAACCTTAGCATCTGTGGCAAAAATGGGTTTGATCGGGTTAACGGGAATCCAATTTTTTTGTTGACCAGTTTTTTGTTGAGGTGGTAAATAAGCATATTCTTCGTCTTCATCTTCTTCTTCGACGATAGCATCCAAGTCGTGTTTAGATGAAGCATGAGTTGACCACTTGTTAAAATCATCGACAGATTCATCATCATCTTCTTCTTCGTCAGGACTGTCATCGTCGTTCTGATGATCTTCCGTCATTACAAGTTGTTTAAGTTGATTATTGGCGTTGGTTCCATCATCGTCCTCCTCCTCCTCCTCCTCCTCGTCATCATCATTTTCCGATTCAGCTGAAGAGGTGACGTCGAATTCAGAATCCGCCTGATCATCCGATGTTGCTTCTCGTTCAAAAACAAACTCATCATCCTCGCTATCTTCAGATTCTTCCATGACAGCGTTTAAAGCAGCATTTTGTTTTCTCATAAGACCCAAAGCTTGACGATCACGAGTTTCTACTTGTCTATTTAACATTTCATTTCTTCCACCAATGATAGAAGGCTCATTACGATTCATAGAGACCGGAGATGGCGCAGGTGGTCTCGGCGGATGCGGATTATTCTGAGGAGGCATATTTTTATTTGCCGGGATCAAATTCCCACGAGTCTGGGGAACCACATGAGGGCGAATTGGTGGGTTATTGTTAACCTTTGTAGGGTTATTTGCTTTAAGGAGCTCCTGAGATTTTGACTTTGACATGACCGAGGAAGTTTTTTGAGATGGCATGGGGGAAACAGAAGGAATTGGTGATGATGATTTGGAGGAATCAACATTCAAAGGAGTTGAAACAGGGGAAGCAGTTTCACCACGAATCCTTTGGATATTATTCACCACAGAGCTAATTATCCTGGTTGGTTCATTAACAGAAGATTCCTTCTTTGCCTTCTCATCCTCAATATATTTTCTCATAATTTCATTCTCCTGCTGTAATTCACGGTTACGAGCTTCAACTTGACGAACACGTTCTTGAAACGCTTCAACGAGATCTTGATATTCTAACAATTCGGAATCCCTTTCACGTAACAAGTCCTCATGATCCGACAATTCTCTTCTCAATTTTCTATTTTCTTGACGCAAAGCAGCACCTTCAGGAGAGGCAGCGCGTACGTGGGAACGAGAGTGAGCTGAATTAGCAGCTGAAGCGGGGGGAGAAGTCGCACGTACATGGGCACGAGAGTGAGCGGTATGAGTGGCCGAAGCGGCACTTACGTGGGAACGAGAGTGAGCGGAATGAGCGGCTGAAGCAGGGGGAGAAACAGGTCGACGAGCATTTTGCGTAGTTGATGCTTTTGAAGAGACTCCATCAATTTTCTTTTTATCAGTCTTCAAGATGCCTGTGGGTTGAGTAACATGTGGGGTAACTGGCCTTTTGTCATGAGGACGAGTGGATGACTGACCATTAGTAGCACCAGAAGACTTTTGTTTTAAAGTTGGAGGCGGAGAAATTGGTGGGGAATCATTTTTTGTCTTTTTAACCGTTGTTGTTTTATTGGGGACAACTTGAACATTTGGTTTCTTTCTTTCAACGGCATTTTTTTGTCGGTTATTATGTGGAGTTGAAGGTCTTGGTGATGATTGGGTAGCCTAATAAAAATTTTAATTAATAAATTTGTTGCAATTATTCGCATTCTACATTTGAAATTTTATTATTTACCCTTGTTGATGCTTTGATTGTAGTAAAGTTCCTTTGTTCACTTTGTAGGATTGGATTTTGTTCCTATAATCATACACAATAGAGGAATGGGGTTTTAGCATACATACATATATATATATATTAAACTATTATGCATATATGCAAGGACATGTGCAAGATATGAAAAAAAAATGATGGGGATTTTTTTTTTACCTTCCACACAATTGACATTGTGTTATACATGCTGTTTGGATTATTTCTCGAGGTGGAATTAATAGATGCGCCCTAATAAGTCATTATTAAAAAAAAAAAACCAAAAAAAAAAAAATTTTTGGTTTAATAATTATTTAGGAAAGTCGTATGAATTTCCCTTTCCAATAAAAGGAATTGAACTTGTCATTCAAAAATTCTTTTTTTTAAGGTCACGCTTTTGAGGAAGATCTGCATCTTAATTGGCGCAGAAACGATTTCAAAAGAATCATTTACCTGTCTACTGTAATCGTTGATGATACTACTACCCATACCGTTCGTCGAGTATGGATAGTGGTCAGTTCTTGTAGGTGATGTACTGATACTATGGCGCACGGCAGAATGTAAAGTAGCCGGCATTATCTGTATTCAGTATTATAATGAAGATTTTTTTGAAGATTTATTTTATATTAATTAAAGGTAAATTTTTTTATTTTATTTTTAAAAAAAAAAAAAAAATAAAGTTTAAAAAAAATATATATATATGTATATATATAAAAAAAATTTTTTTTTAAACGCACCAATTGTTTTTAAATATATTATATAAATATATATCAACCCGGGGAGTAAAAGAAAAAATGGGTTGATTCAAATAAATGGATGATAAATCGATCGAGTGAATTGTGTAGAAAACGAAAGAATCGAAAAAAAAGAAAGAAGAATTTAAGATTTTAAGATACTTGTGAAAAATAAAATCGCGTTTTTTTTTTTTTTGTTAAAGAAAAAAAATTCAAGACAAAACACGTGAATTCTAACGAACCAAAAAAAATTAGAGGGTGACTTTGGGAAGGGAGTGAAGCAACGAGAAAAATCTCATCGAGGTAACAAAAGAACGAGTCAAGATAAGGGTGAAAAGGAAATATCCCCAAAAATATATATATATATATATATATTTCTCGAGAAAAAGCTATATCAATTTGTTAAAAACGCAGACTAACCTTGAGAGATATCCCTTCACTATATTCGTCTTTACTTAATGTTGATATTATGTGGGTTGTGTTTTAGGCACTATCCACAAAAATTCAATAGTTATAATATAAAATTTTTTTTTAAAAGAAAAGAAAAGTAAATACGAAGAAATTTTTTTCAAAGTAAAATTTTTTTTAATATCAGATAATATTGAAAATTCGTTTTGGACCTTTTTAAATATAAATTTTTTTTTTTTACAGTAACAATATAAATTAAAAAAAATTAAATATGTATAAATATATCTAATCTATACAGGAGAAATATTTAATATATATTATATTGTTATTGTAAAACGGTATATCAATTTTTGATTTATCGGTAGTGTAGTTGTTATTTTAAATTATTTATACTATCTAAATTCAATATAAATTAAATTAAATTTTCAACTTTTATTTTTATATTAAAATTTATTGCGAGTTCATGATCTAATATAAATAAGAATTATTTATATAAAATATATTTTTTTATTTAAAATAGATCTAAACAAATTTAACTGCCGAAAATATGCAGAAAATACGTTTACAATATTTCGTGGAATCAAAGTGTTCAATTACATATAAGAAAATTCAATGAGAAAGGATAAAATCTCTCCCTCCTATCTCTCTCTCTCTCTCACACACACATATAAATCAACTTCTTCACTCTCATATTGTTCGATATTCAATCATGTTTTTATTATTTTTCAGACAGGAAATATATGTTGACAGGTTACATCAAACTCACAATGTTAAAAAATTACATTTACATGTAATATAATTTTAGGATTGAATCAAGTGTAACAAGGCAAATTTCGGGATTAGTTTGCAATATAAGTGCAGGATTTCTACTTTTTATGGGTTATATGAAATCATTAACATATGAATTTCGGATATAATAAGATATATTTTTTATACAATATCAAGAGAGCAAAAAAGTAAGCGACCAAATTGCGAGCACCAAAGAACTAGGATAATGACTTCTAAAAGGACGTTAGGCCAAAAGGACCCTTTACTCATTTGTGGGTGAATCATTTTCCGCAAGGATTTTAACATCTGTTATGGGAAACAAAATCATTAATGTAGTGTAATATTATAATAAAGTTTTCTCCCTTTTCTTTTTTTTTGATTTTTCTTGATTTCATTTGTTAAATCATCTTTTTGAGGATAAAGAACAATGTAATGTAATAAAAAACAAACTTCATGTCAAAATGAAAAACAAGAGTCAGCAGATGGATGAAATGAGAAAGGACACGAGCACAGTGATTAACAGCTGCAATGTGCTGTACAACAGGATTTCGAGCGAGAACGAACTTCAATTAAAAGTACTTTATTAAAGTTTGAAAGGTAAGAGCATTGTAATTCCTTGAGAAAGGCATGAAACAGGTTTGAAGCCTTTTTTTGCAAAAAAAAAATTGTCCGAAATTTTTTGTTCGTGCATTTTGGTAGGTAGTAATTGTTAAAAGAAAAAAGGGTAAGACCTTATTTCATCTTATACGGATAAATAAAGTAATAGATCAACAAAGCCTTCTCTTTCTACGCCATGTTGTGAGATATAAAATTTAGATGGTTCACAACAGCAGAAAGAGGAGAGAAGAAAAAAAAAATTTTAATAACCGGATGTTATCATTTTTTTTTTTTTTTTTAATAAAAAAAATAAGACTTTTTTTACAGACAAAAGAAAAGTTGGATTGGGAAATTGATGTATTCGGGTAAATGTGAAGTGGCGTAGAATATTCGTTTGTATTTATAATTTGCAGATTTAATTTAAATTTAAATATCGTTTGTTTTTATAAAAAAGTAACATTTCGGATGATTTTGTTTAAAAAAAGAAAAATTGCAAATTCAATAGAAAATGAAAAAAAAAAAAATATTTTTTTTCATATTTTCATTTTTCCAAATCTTGGTCATTTATTTACTCATAAAAAAAGAAGATTTCGTTACCAAATTTTTTTTTTTTTTTTTTTTTTTTGGACATTCAAGTATGGTTTTGGAAAATTGATTAGTTATTATATAGTTTAGAGTATTTTGAAATGCAGGGCATAGAACGAACGTGGGGATAGCATTTGCTGAATCGAATCGGCAATGCCGAAGTGATCATCAAATTAGCATATATCATCATAAAAAGAAAAAAAAAAAAAAAAATCTATCAAGATACGTACAGCTTAAATATAGATTAGAGATAATATAATTTTTGACAAGGTAAAACCTCTATAAACTTTACGGCAAGTGCGAATTTTGTGAAGTGTAAACATGAAATAAACAAACAAACATAAAAGCAACCAAACCTAGACATATGGAGGGAAAAAAAAAATTTTTTTTTAGAGATAGGAAAAATTAATATGGCGGCGATATTTAAGTAATATATGCAAAACAAAATATTTTTTTATTTTTATTTTTATTTTTTTATTTTTTAGGGAATTTATTTAAAAAATAAAAGTCTCTTTACGTTCAACTAAAGGTAAACATTGCCGAATGTTTGCATATTCTCCTACCAAACCATGCTATTTAGTCGAGGGGGCCGAATAAAAGAGGCAAGGATTTTTAGTAAACAATCGCCATGAGTGTAAACAAATGATAAACAAATTCCATTTTGAAATTTTAAATTTATCATATATATATACATATATATAAAAAAATTATTAAAAGAGTAATGTTCCTTTCCTTGATGATTTCAAAAGAAACCTGTTTACTACATATCTCCTTTTAATCTCCTTTTTTGACAAGGGTTTACTTTTTATAAAAACGATCCCTTTCAAGTTCATTGAATTGGAGGCAATTGAAAAATGAGACTTGTTTAGTTGTTAATGATTTTATTTATTTAAAGCAACTTTTATTTACGATTTTGTACGGTTCATTCGGTAATATATACATTCAATGCCACATAAATTTTAAATCGAGTACGGGCTTATTCGGTTAAGCACTTTCTTTCAATAGAAATCACCCAAAGATTCATTTTTTTTTGGTCGTAAGGGACAGGTTTTTTTAGGCATTATCGATGATGATGTCATTACCTAGTATATTATCCAACCCATTTCGGAATTTCATTTGAAACAATCAAAAGTTAAATTTGGGAGAGTTTTAAAAAACGTAAAAATAGGTGGCCTTAAAAGGATAGTGACTTCCATTGTTTATCATTGTAACCTTTCTTTGCAGAATCTGTCAAATATGTGATAGGCGAATTTTACAGTTTTTATTTAAAAAAAAATTATACTGTATTTGTACATAATATAATATATGTGTTCTTTCATTAAGCATATCACTCAATTAATTAATAATAGTTTATCACCCACCCAATTAAACCATCCGGCGAATCAGGCCTGTACACGCAATTGACAATCATTTTAATCATTCTGATAAATCACACGCGACTTTTGCATCCTCTCGTGGCAATATTGCATCAAAAATAACTCGGTCACCAACCAACACGGGTGATATCAACATAAACTAACTCATTATATATACGATATATAATTTAAGACTTTTCAATTATGGAATACCCGACTGATGAAAAAGGATAATCACAGGATCACACCTTTTGATATATTTACTTGCTCGATTCCCTTGTTGGTTTCTCTATTGTTCTCTCATGAAAAAAAAAAATTTCCTTAAAAATATCGTATCACTGTACCCAACATTATTTCCACCCGCAGTAATTGAAACGAAATGGGAACTTTTGTTTATGTGATTGGTGCGTGTCTCATGCAGATGTCACTTGCTATTTTTATCTCATGTAGCAAGCCACAATAAATAAATACGTTCACTCCTTTTAAAAAAATGTTGCTTAAATTCTTTCATACATATGTCAAACTCATTTCCGTCTTAATAAGGACTGTTATGGTTATATTAATGTTATATTAATACCTATTGTTGTATTGTGATTAAAAACGGTTTTATTCTAAAAAAAAAAAATTGAATATGAAAATGAAAGAATGAAAATGGGATGAAATGGAAATTACTCAAATACATGTCAAAATGAGCTTGCATGAACTCCGTAAATATTGATGTAATTAATTTTCAAACGGCGCAGCAACCATCACAAATCCAATTTTGATTATGAAAGGAGGGATAGTCGAATGACTACCTTTTCGGTTCATCATTTCAAATTCAAACCAGTCACTTGAAAAAAAATAATCGAGTCCCTGCATAAACAAACGATCTTTTAGTGGTTCCCAAATGAAGTAACATCCCATCGTACAAGCCGCTACCACTTTTTGAAATGGCCCAAGCTCTGAATTTACGGAATGGTGAAATTCCTTTTTATGGGATGCAACCTTTGAAAATCACCCATCTTTTTAACTGGTTTGAAACCAACATTGTCGTGTTACCAAATAATCACTTTCTTGAAAATGATTTACATAGAAATTTTCAACCCTTTTGATATAATAAGAAATTGTACAATAAGGATCGGATTCCCAAACTTTGAACTCTTTTTTCAAAAAAAAAACATTTCAAACATTTTTTCAATTTTTTTCATGTGGGCAAATTTTATATCTAAAAGAAACGCTATTTTTAATCGAATTACTTAGAATCAGAATAAGCCAACGGGCATAAGCAACTGTTTTGCAACAAAGGGGACATGCACATCCTATTGTTCTCCAATAATTACACATGTGTTGTGTTGACTATTTTTGTTGCCGAATATTTATTTATATACGCAGTTTGAGTAAGTTACTGCGGATTTAACTGCGCCACTCATTTTCTCACCTTTTTTTCCTCCCTCCTTCCTTTTCCTTTTTTTTTTAAAAAAAAAAATTTGCTTATTATGCGCAGCCAAAGGATCTTCTCATGATCGGCATTATAAAAATCTTTAACCCTTATCATTTCTGTTTAGACAGCTCTTTTAATATAAATAATGTGAATGCAAATGCGACGTGGTTGATCTTTTCAATCAAATGATTGTATTTTTTTTTTTTTCACAATAGATGTTATAACAATTTACACTCAAAAAAAAAATTTTTTTTTGTCTTCTGATTTCTCCCAAATTAATCTAATGCAAATTTTTTTTTTTTTTCGAATCCTTTGTTTATTCGAGACGATTTTTTTTTCGGTAATTTAAATGTTCTAAGAGATTCGTTTATAAATAAAGAGGTGATCCTTTATTGTTTTAATTTTTAATATTACATTACATCAAAATCTCGTTGAGATTATATGATCCATCGATTTGCGTGCACATTTACCTCACACATAATAATATAACGTCAAATTTTATTTTTGAAGAATATGTAAATCGATACCCTTTGTCTGTAACTGTTACAAATTACTTACCTATTTATTTATCTCTTGTGTTTTTAATTTTATCATCATTCATCAATCAATCATTTTGGATTGTTATTATATGCGTTACCTTGTAATTTTAATGCATAATTGTTTTAAACGAAACTCCCTCGGGGGTTTTTCTCCCTCCTTTCAAAAAGTAAATGGTTGACGGTATTATTCAAAAAAAAAAAAAAAAGATCGTTCGAGATGGCTTTTTTTTTTTCTTTTTCTCCTCTCAATAAATACATAATGGATCGATTTGTTTCGGATATTTCTTTTTCAAACAAGGTTCACTCATTATAATTTCCCATTAAAAGGAAATCTTTTCAGCCTACTGCACCCGAGTTAAGAATAAATAACTTTTTTTTTTAATGATACCCGTGTCACCATGGATTCTCTGCTACCGCATGATGAATAATGAATCAATCATACAGGCATGGAAAATCTTTTTGTGAGATCATTGGTAATTATCTGATTTTATATTCTTTGAACGGTGGAACTTCCAAGAAAGGAAGGGGGGAGAAGATGCCAACTCGACCATCCGTGTATGTGCGTGTAAGCTAAGAGTTTCTAAACTTAAACCTACCGTGTTCACACACGTACAAATACACTTATGCGCCAAAAACCAACTAATTGATTACAATGGGAAAATTTTTCATATATCCTTTTTTTCCCCCATTCTAAATAAGTCCTAGTTGATAAAGTTTAAACTCTATTATCATATAAATTTAACTTATTTGGTCATTATTGTCGAAATCGTCTTCCGACCGGGGATTTCGGAAATAAACTCGGCCAACGAGACCGAATTATTATTATTATTTTTTTTTTTTTGGCCACCAATTAACGATTGGTTTATCGACGGTTATAAAACAGGTGTCAATTGCCAAGATAAAGAGGCACTCGCATAATCATATTTAATGATTTTAAACTTACGCATTTACACTAAACCGTACATCTATCTCTATTGTTGAACTTGATCAAATGTTAAATATTGTTTAATTTTAAAAAAAAACCGATGGATTCATAAGAATAAAGATAAAAAAAGCAAGCACACATTTTCTTTGTCGCGTACATCTTTTTTTTTTTTGAATGCAAGCAAAAGCACAATTTGTTAATGCAACAATCTCAGAAACCCGTCCGAACAATATCTTGCAGCATTTTATTTATCCTCACACATTTGTCTCACTTTTTTGGGGTGTTTTATTTTCAAACATCTTTTAATAAATAAAGGCTTCGTAACACAATTTCATAATTGAAACAACAGAATAACAAGTTCTTTTTCTTTGCTTCTACATATCTATCAATATATACTTGTCTGCACTGTGAGCAATCTCACATTATTATTTTTAATAATACATCAATTTTATCTCTAAATCATAATCATTACACTTTTCACGTACATATTGGGCTTTCATTTAACGTTAATCAACTTTTATTTTTTTTTTTTTTTAAAAAAAAAAAAAAAAAGAGATAAAGATTGAAAGATAAAAAAAAGATAAAGTATAATATTTCTTTATTATACATTATTGATCCCCTCTATTGTATCAAAAAAGCAATTTAAAATAAACAATTTAAAATAATTTTTTAAATCTAAATTTGTTTTAAATTTATTTTTATATTTCGATCCATTTATAATTTACCTGGGTCTTTGATCATATTAAAAAACATTTATCCCTTCCTAAGGTCGAAAAATTTGTGTAATCGGTCACGGGACGATTCACATAGCCATTGTTCGTTAGCACGGTCGTACCAAATGATTGCACCAATAGAATTTGAAGTCCTACCAAATTTTTCATTTACCCCTTAAAAAAAGTCAGTAAGGAAATATTAAACTTTATTGGAAGGAAAAAAAAAAACTTGTCGGACCTTTTCCTTCAACATATTCATTCATTCATTCATTATTTTGACATTTTGACAGAGGGGTGGCTTTTTGATTTCAGATGAATAATGAATTTTTAGTGGTCTTTCTTTAGATTATAATACGATAAGATGACACGAGACCACACAACAAACATAAGCCAATCCACCAATGAGATGAATTGATGACAAACGGGTTTACAATATTATTAAGATATTCCAAAGGTCTTTGAAATCCGGTTATGAAAATAAACAAATAGGTATTATAAGGTAAATAGTGCGGTTTTGTTTACCAAAAGAAATTTTTGAATTTCAAGAAATTTTTAACGTCGATGACTTACATCAAACTAACATTTACTCTCACCTTAATAAGCGCCTATGTGCAGATAATCCATAAACCTGGAATTGTTTATCTACCAAATTTTCAAAGAGTAATAAAAAATACGTTGCATTAAAAAGTAAACAAATGTGTCGTATCACTTTTTTCATTCCCTCTGGCGAAATGTGAATTTAATGGAGTGACTCCTAAGTCGGCTTTAATTTATTTTTAGTAAAGTTGATCTTTACTAAGACAACGCCTTCATCCAAACAAATAATGCTCTCTCTCCAACGATGCTCACTGACCACTGAACATCCATGCAAGTCGTTTATCATCCTTTGTGGATCAATTCTCCAACTGCTGAGGTGATTATGTGCTGTATTAAGAATTTCTCCTTGTGAAAGAAAAAAAATTTTTTTTTTCCAACAGCGGTCAATAAGAGCAACTTTCTGCAGTTTGAACCCTAAAAAATCGGCTAAAGGAAATAATTTAACATCGAGATAATTTTTTTATTATTACATACATACAGGCACACATGAACATAGATTACGAATATTATTGATAAACATACCCATTTGTTCATATACAACGAGCTTTTTTTCTTTCTTCTCTTTTTGACGGATTATGTTTGCTTTCTTGGGTTACAAATTTGAAACGAATACTTAATTTGAAAAATCAATTTCATGTATGGTAAATCCCCTTTTTTTTGACAAGTTCTTTTCTTTTTTCTGAGGTGCATATTCATCCTTGTTTGGGATGAATTTCTGAATTCGCCTTTTTTGTGCTCCTTTACTTATTAACTTAATTAGCCGAAGAAAATGATAAAAATATTACCATAGCGTAACATGTCATTTATGCAACTCTCTTTATGACGGGTGTCCTTTATGGTCTCGCGTGGCATATTTGATGAACGTATGCGAAGCGCCAAATAAAAATAAATGATGTCAGGAGTGTCTGTGCCATGTCAAGTTCGGAAAAAGGATACCATTTTATGGTAATCAAAAGGATCTGGATCCTTGCGAGAAGCAAGAAATTTGATCATGTGAGCGTGATTTTGCATGTCGTTTGCTGATCCCGATACATTGATGTGATCAATTTAAATCAATTTCATGTTACATGGTTTTTATTAATTGAATGTGTCAATAAATTTTGTTTCAGGTCCTTTTTTTTTATTTTTATTTTTATTTTTTTGACGTGAGCTGTCACTTTAAATATTTATTATTAGTTTTAGGAAAAAAAAAATTTTTTTTTTTTGTATCATTTGGTTTTAGGTTTTAGGTTTTGGCTTGACTATTATTATTATTATTTTTTTCATTGACGTATGTATAAACTTAAATTTACAATATAACCAAAATTATAAACATCAAAATCAACTTTTGGGGATTGTTTCACCTAATGGATGGAGTAACGTTGAATGACAATAATTACAAAATAAGGAGTTATTTACATCATTGGAGCATAACATTTGGTGTTTGCACATCTTCTAATCAGATAAAGTGTTTTTTTTATTTTATTTTATTTTATTTTCGTTTTATCACAATAATATTGTATTATTTCTTAAAAAGACAAAAAGAAATAACTTTAAAATATTTTTTTCTTATTGTTGGATGGATACCCTGAAAAAATGTCCCCAACAAAAAAAAACTTGAAATCACACTGGTTTTTATCTCATTTTTTTCACAATCACTTTCAAACACAAAAAAAAAAACCTCTCTTATCAAATAAATAATAATAATAATAATAATAAATAAACAAAAACAAAAACCTTAAAGAACAATGTACTATTTACATCACTATTATTCGAAATTCCTGATTTTCATCCAAGTGAAGAGGAACAAAAACGAGACATTGAAGGTAGAATCATAATTAAATATATGGCGTAACCTTAAAAATCATCAAAATCAAAATTGTTTCAGTTGATGTACAATGAATGGTAAATGTTCAGCCCAATTTTATTACAAATATTGTTGCGCTCAAAGGGAAATTCATTGAGTATTCAACTCATACAATACAACCTTTTATTAAAGTTCATGCTACTAGGAGAATATTTTTTTATTTCTCAAAAGGTTTGATGGTGGTGGTGTTGTTCAAACCGGTGTTAACCGAATGGACGATTCCTTAGAATCACTACAAAATAATCATATGAGATCGATAAGCAAAACTCTCCCTTTCTATCATTCAAATCGAACCCAATGGTGGATAATTTAGACATCGGGTGCTCTAGGTTTATGTGAGGGGAACGGACATCTAATGCGTGTCACGTGTCATAAACAATAAATATTACGCCAGAGAACGAGTTTTTTAAAAAAAAAAACGCGTCCGCCAAAGACTCGATATGGTTAAGCGGGGCTCATTCTAATTAGCTGTCAAATACGCGTGATTATTAAAATAGTACAAGTTTTTTAAAAGTTTGGAATAAATATATATACATGCGGTTTTTTATTAAAATTAAATTATTATTGATAAATATTATTCGCTACGGAGATATCCATAGATTGCCCAATGCGTCCAAAAAAAGTTATATGGAATGATTATAATAGCTTTTTATTTGAGAAAGGTTTGAATAATTATTATTATTTTATTTTATTTTATTTTTGACAACCGCAATGTTTAGATTTTGTTTACCCTTAAAGTTTCTAAACAACTCACCATGGCTATTAATTTTAAATTACTTGTATCATTTCTCGTTTAGATATAAACTAGATTTTTTTATCTTGTACCTTGATCTGCTTGTTGTTGGCGTTATAGGGTAATTATATTTATGGTAGTATTTGAGTGTTATTTGTTCAGGCCACGCTAAATAAGATCAAGACCATTCGGTCTGTACGGTCCGATAATGCTCATTTACCATCTTCATTTACGATTTTACGCTATTATGCGAATATATTGGTAGGTAAAATGAGCTGCTTTTAACTGAAGTGACCCTCGGTCAGTAATCGGACGTATGCAGAGCGCATTGATCAATGAAAAAGTTGAAAACAAATTCGATTACTATTTATAGCATTCATTTATATTTTATTTTAATTATTATTTACCACCCAATAATACCTCTCCACATGTTTGCCCTTTGTACATCAATGTGGCACAACACAATTATGTTCTAAAAGAAATTTTTAGTCTACGCCGCCTCGAGATGTCTTTTATTTTATTTTCAATTTCAATATTTTTTTAGGCGTATAATGATACCAAACCTTTCATTGGGCGAGAATCATCTAGCAATGGGATTCGTTCGATTATCAATTAACGTATTATCGGTTACATTTACTTGTCACAATATCAACGCTAATTCGTTCCCAAAAGTAGTACATGTATGAGCATCGACCAGAATTATCAGAAAATTTCGAAACTTTGTATTATTTTATTTTGTGTAATGATGAATCATGGAGGCGGATTCTCAAATAAAATAAGAATCTTAATTTATTTTTGTGATTATTATTCTTGTAGATTATTTTTTTCTTGATAATTTTTAATCAATCTTTATTCAACATTAATATTATTATAAATGAAACTCGATAAATAAAGTTTCATTACCTAAACAATTATTCATCATCAATTTTGACACGTTGCTTTTCATTGGTTCTCCGTCAATTTACAAAAGGGGTTAAAACTATTAATAATAATTTAATTTTAAAGGGGGTCTTTGGATTTTTAGTCATGTTTATGTTTTCTTTTTTGATGTACGTTCTGCTGGTACCACCACTTTGATAAAATCTAATGTAAGGGATAAAAAAAACAACTAGTTTCTTTATGATAGTTTTTGAAAGATATGAGAGTCACAACACTTTTTTTTATACAGGGAATGAATTACTCTTTTAATTCGTTAATAAGTATCGCAAGACATTTTTATAATGATTTATCATTAAACCACAAATGGTAATCAACAATTATTAAAGATTTAGATATTAAGTAGCACGCGATAATATAAATATTTTCGATTATTTTTTTTACGATCAAAAGACAAATTTTCACAATTATATTCTTTAATCTCTTTACATTACGTAATCCGAATTATCCCATCAGGTTAAAAAAAAACAAGTTTTTCTGTTTTTATTTTCTTGAAGGAAAGAAAACTCATGGGGAAAGTTTTAAAGGGAAAGTATTTGGTCAAGCCACTTTTGTAATATTTACGATGCGCATGCCATTCTCTATTTTAATCAGAAATTTACACATGAAGAAATTCATCAAATATATATATATCTCTTTTGTGATGTTTATTATTTTTGAAAACGCAATCTTTACAATCTCATTCATAATTTACAAAAATGAAATTAAAACAACAATCGAATACATTGTTCATGTAAAAAAAAGTGGGGGTTCATAAAACTCCATTTATAATTGTTGTTTATGACGTATTTCAAATAACGTTTAACCTTACCTTGATTACTTCAACTGGTTTTTAGAAAAAAAAACCCATTTTATATATATTTCTACAATTCTTTTTTAATTTTTACCCCACAAATAATCTCATGATTTAAAGGGATCTTTGGTAATCCCACGTGTGAAACTTTTTTTTAATCATTTAATCAATTTTTCTCTCGGTTATTAACTATTTCACAAGTAATTCATATGTAAATCAAAGCCTTTGAAATATAAATTTTTTTCCTTTTTTTTTTTGATACTAATTTGAAAGTCAGTCGCTTAATTATTTCATGTCATTTATAAAGTTAAACCGTTTTTTTTTTTTTTTAATTTTTTTTTATGAATGAATAAAATTATTTTTGGCGGGAAAAGTATTGTAATCTGTTTCCTTTACATGATTTTATGTCATCATGATTGAATAATAAATTACAATCAAGATCGGAAGATCCCCATAAAGATTTTCTATTAGGTAATCAATGTTAAAGATCAAAATTTTTTATTAATTTTTTTTTTTTTGAAAAAAAAAAAAAAATTGGCGGGAAAAAGCTCAACTTTAATTTCAATATTTATATTGATTATTATTAATTATAATTACAAATTCAAAATTAAAATTTTTTTTTTTAAAAAAAAAAAATAAATAAACAAAGCAATCAAACGAGTTGTTTGTAATGGAAAGCGAAAAAGAAAAAAAAAATTGTAAAGAATATATGGTCGTTTCGAACACGTGATTTTTTAAGCACTTTGTCAATGATTTTTTCTTAACTTCAGCCGGAATTATAAAGATTCACGTGATGAACATTCCAATTCGCGTTTATTACATTTTTAAAATTTAAAGAAGAGAGCTTTGCAATAGAGTGTAAGTGTCCTTTTGGACAATTTAAAATAAACTATAGTATTAAAAATTAATTGAAAATATTTTGTCAAATTCTTAATTTCTAAACGTAAATCGGATCGTGTTAACCGGAAACAAATTGTGAGACCGATTACAGTTTTTTATAAATCTGATTGATTCCAAGTTTCTTTCCATTTCCATTTTCTTATTACTTTCTTATCAACACCATGGATATTTTCGAATTGTACAAAGCAATAATTTTCGCATGCCCTTACTCCAAATATTTCGATTTCTTCACATGAATAAAGGTATGCTAAAAAAAAAAAAGAAAGAAAGAAAGAAAAGCACACGTCAACGTTATTCAGAACGATTTACACGCGTCACAGGATTTCCGTGATTTGTCAAATATTTATTAAAAAACCAGAGAGGTAAGTATGATAAGGTAATAATATCTTTGGTGGTGCAAAGTGCTTGTGTGCCTTACTAGAGGGAATTTCTGGTAGGGGGGTGAAGGTTTTCCTCCCAAGCGCTGAGTAAGATGCATGTTTTCTGGATTCCTAGAGTTGCTGGTTAACGCATGGGATTTAGCAATACAAGGTTTCTTTGTTAAGGTCTACTCTACTGATTATGGAACTATAATTGGTTATGAATCACATCCTTATAACAAAACGAAAAATCTTTGATTACTAGATCTCGCATCTGGTCATCTTAAATATTTTTTGCCTGGTTATGCATGTTGCGATTATGTTGTGAATCATTTCTCACTTAAAACCTTTTCGTTTATAAAGTCTGATATCAAAAAGGTAAACAGTTTGTTGATGTACCTTAGGAAAGAACGTCAAATAAAGATAATGTCACAGACATTACAAGAACCTCGTCAAAAAGAATTGCCAAGAGGATGATGATCATATCTAAATTTCGAGCAAGTACAAAGTTCTTTCTCACTTATAAAGCATATTATCATATGTTCTGATATTCTGGGACACGGTTGGATATGTACGTCGATGAGTTGGAAAAATTTTGTAATGAAGGTGCAACTTATGGACGCTTCACGGTAATCAACGAACTTTCCAAATAACTCATTTCCAATTTCTGATACATTATCCAATATTTGTTCGAAATACCTTGAAAACACTGTTGATGCACTACTCTCATTAACGTCAAGTAAGGATTACTATTCTTTTAATTAGCTTCTAGACGATTTATATTAACATCGAGTTTATAAATGCACATAGTATCGAGACGGATTCCACAAGCATTGAGAAGTGAATAAAATATGCTCCATTATGATAAAGCAGCAGATTCACTAGAAAGTCTTTATATACCATTATCAATAATTCATTTAATCATGAAAAAGTCATGAAAGCGAACGATCTACTTGACAAATCTAAGGTTGAGTAAACATTTTGCTTTTGCAGTATTGCAACAGGTCAATAGGTGTTACCCAGCTGCAGCTATGAAGGCATACCTTTTAGGATACCTTATTCAAAGAAAAAAGCGAAAAGCAGGAAGTACTATTGACAAACTTTGGAGTCAATTTGAGGCAACGAATACTGTGGCCAAAATTCAGGTAGGTTAATCTAATTAAAAAATTTTTTTCTGTATCCTAACACCATTTGTTACTAATTAGAAAGCAGGACTCATTGAGAATATAAAGCAAAATCAGGCATACTCTAGAGCATTGATGTCTTTTAACAGAAGAGAAAACTGTAACGCCAGACACTTTTAAGATATCTTCATCTTAAATTGGTAAGTAAACATTAGGACTTAATGCTGAGGTTTTTCTTTCTCCTATAATCGTTCAATGGGTATCATCATCACATGCGCTAATTTCTGATGAACTTGAGGAAGAGTTTGGATGGCGGTAAAGAATCTTTTGAATGTATATGAGCTTGGAAAGCTTCTCTCTTCGCGTTAATTGTGATGATAATTAAATTGAGCATACCCATTAACTCACGCCACTTCAAATGGTTTATAAGTTGTCGTTAAATTTACAAATTCTTCAAGTAAAGTTATGCAGACTTTAAATAATATATCTTTAAATCAATATAAGTTGCGTAGAATTTAAATAATTATCTTTAAATTAATTAAATTTTGCATAATGTTCAGACGTTTAAGATACTTTTAAATTTATCATTTATATACAGTATATACAGTATAACAAATCGAATATTTTGTGAATTAATGTAATTTTGTACTAAAATGTAAGAACATTTTCAGCAACCCAAAAAATTCAATTTGGTTGGATAATTATACGATATTAATGCTTTAATGTTTGAAATAAAAAAAAATTTCATTTAAAACTTCAATTAAATTCTTTTGGAACCTTTCTTGCTTTGTAGTTTGTTAAATTTTTGGACAGGTATCATTTAACTGGTAAAATTACTGCAATTGTGACTTTTAACGGAATTTAATTTATTTAATTTATATGATTTTTGACAGCTTGCATTATGATGAATTTATTAACCAAAATATTTTGTAAGTTACGGTCAAAGGTATTGCATCACCCGATCACAAATTTTAAAATTGCAAGATTAGAAGGCGTAGTGTTACGAAATTTATTTTTTAGTCTCTTCATAACGAGTTTATTTAATGATATAAAATTATTGCACAGTAATAAAATCAAACTTTAAAAAATATTTATTTAATGTATTTATTAAATTTTTTAAATAAAAAAAAAACATTAAAACTTTGCTTAGCCTTTATTACATCATTTATAAGAGTTCAACCAACCTTTTGCATACATCGGATCCCAAATCAACCCCATTTCATTCCAAAGGTGTTCTATTGGGTTTAAGTCATGATGGAGTTTCTCCCTGATTGGCTCCAATTTAAACGATCTGATTGGTCAAAAAAAATACGCGAATTGATAACTCAAGATATGAATACTCCCGTGATTTTTGTAACACGTCTAACAAATCGTAGTTTAAAAATGGTAGTTAAAAAAAATTTTGGACCATGTTCAGTAACAGATTACAAATATGAAAATGTTACTTTTCGCACAATTACAGTGAAAATAATATGCTAGAAGCATATCCTTACCTTGAAATAGAAAAGCAACTTTGCCACTCACATTATTGAGCCGAACCGTGGACAATATAAACGAAAAAGAATAAATCACCAGGAATGCAATAGGAAAAAGGTTATACATGAAGACACAGAATCTTGGCCAATCGAAGAAACAGGTAATTTGATTGATATTAGTTGTAAAGATATAAAATAACAACTAACTTATAACTGAACTATTTATCTATTTAGTTTTAATAAATAATCCTACATTTGCATCAAATGTAAAAACACTAACAAGTGTTTTGTATAATAAACAACGTCGAGAATCTGCCAGTTTGGAATTGAATCCAACACAATTTCAACACATGATTGAGAAAGCAAATCCTGAACTTAGAGGATTTTTCCTTTAAAATTAAATACAATTATTTCAAAGAATCAATCAGCCTATAACAAACAGAAGGCCAAAAAATCCGTTGTTGCTTTGTGTTATATAATTGCTTGTTTACGTAACAAATTCGTTAACCAGTTTAAGATAGAAGTTGTATTATATTTGACAGCTTCGGATGCTACATAGAAAGCTATTGATACAATGTCAAGTCTTAGATTCTCAGCATGTGGCAAAACAGTTGCAAATTTTCAAAATAAAATTCAAACAAATCATGCAATTAAAATCGAAAATCATTTTTTTAGAAAATGTAAGCTTTTATTAAAATATATTTATTATAAAGCTTTAATAAACCTTTTATTTTTAAATTAGGGAGATGTTTGTATATTTATAATGTAGATAATTATCATGCTATCCATGAAAAGCAAAGGCCAGATACAGTTTCAACATCAATAGCAAAGCATTTTACTACTTGTGTTGCAAAAACTGTCGCAGAATACTTTGCAATACTACTTGTGTTTAATGGTATATCTGTTCACAATTCAAACAATATCAAAGCACTAAGAATTTGCTGGTATTTGATTAACAAATATACTGGAATTTTCAATATTACATATACAAATCTCTGGGCTTTGCAAATACATCAGGATATTAATGCTTTTAATTGCATTAAATTTTTAACTGTGCATATTTATGATGATGTTATTGCAGAATGTAAAGAAAAGAGATCAATGAATGGACTTAAATTAATTGGTCTTAAGGAACAGAATTTGCATTCGATGTAAGATTATTTAGATACATTACAAATAATTTTAAATATAAATAAAAAATCAAAACATTTAGAAAATAAAAATTGCTCCTATTGTTGCAGATTGGCCTAGACTAAGGTTGCTGGACGAAATCAAGAGTTTAGACAGTTGTCTAAATGGTAAAAGTAAAACTTGGTTAAATTATATTAAAACCTTATTAAAAAATCTGCGAAATTTAGAAAAAGGTAAAACTATATCAAAGCTTATAAAAATGGCGAAACTATATCAAACACTTAGTAAAAATTTAGCGAAACTAAAGGTTTTACCGTTTTGCCAAATCCCAAATGAGTTTAGACAAGCAACCTTAGCCTAGACAGTTGTTTATTAAAAAAGCATTGACACATTTACATGTATCAAGATTACAATCTGCTATTCCACAAGAAATTGAGTCTTTTATATCTATGTTAGGCCCACTTCATCTTTTATTTAATAGTAAAGAGCATGTTATAATAATCTATCATTCTTTTTTTGAATAAATGTTTCATTTTGTATTTGGTAAACATAAAAAATTAGCAAAAAAACCCAAACCATAGCAAATTAACCTTCTTTTTGAACTTACAAGAAATGGTTGGGCTAAAATAAAAAATAAGATTATTCAAAAATTTGGCTCATTATGCAAAGATGTTGAATATCAAATAATTATTGACTTATTAGATAATTTAATTCCAGCTACACTTAATATTTATACAATTTTATTTAGATCTGGATCATTTGAAAAATACGTAAAAATTGTGTTTCATATTTGAACTTTTGCTTTACGTTGAAAAAGAAAAAAATTATAATAAAGCTTCTTTTATATTTTTATCAGATCTATTCTATTGGCAAGATAATCATCACCTATTTGCTGATACAATTAAAAATTATTTATCGTATTTTAATGATTATTATGTCAAAAACACTCATAGTCAAATAAGAGCAAATATTTCTTTGAATACAACAGTTAAAAACATTATAAAATAGGCTTATGTTATTGGTATTATTAATATTAACATGATATATTATGTTTTATAATTACAAAATTAATAGTATTTTTTTAATAATCTAAAATAGTTGATCGTAATCCTATTTTTAAGGATACATATTGCAAAATCTACTATTATCTATACAATTCATCTACACTTAATTTTCTTTCAAATAAAATCAGTCTTTTCTTATTGAAATACTTTTGTAATATATTATATAATCAAAATAATAGCATTTCAGTATATAATAATAGAAGAAAAATAAACTAAAAGGATATAAATTAGCTATTTTTAAAAAAAAAATAGATTTGCGTCATCTACCAATAGCATACAGTACATCACATATACTACAATTAGAATTGTACAATAAATATGAATTTCAAATGAATGATGATAATATTATGCTTGCTTGTAACCATAGTTATCATTCAGCTTGCTATAATAGAAGTTAAAGATGAGAACTGTAATTAATATGTTGCAACTTTTAATGTTACAACTTACGTTGCAATTAGTTTTAACCTATATATGTTGCAACTTATAATGTTGCAACATATGTTGCAACTAATTTTAGCTTATGTTGCAACATTTTGTAAATTTGAAATCAATTGCTGTACCATCTTTAATAGAAGTATATTTATTGTGAAATTTTTTATAAGAATTGTATATTTGAAAATGTAAATGTGTTTTTAAAAAGGATTAAAAAGAAAATGGATATACTTACATAGGATAATATAGATAATGATATTAATGAAGAAGAAAAGGAAGAATCAGAGATGAAAAATGAACAGACAAATATATTTGCTGCATTAGAATTGACAATTAATGATATAAATTAATGTTTCTCATAAATCAAATCAGATCTGAATCTGATAAATCTGAATCTAAATCTGTATCCAAATCTGAAAAATCTGAATACGTATTTAAATCTGTATCCGTATCTGACGAATCAAAAATTTTTTTTAACAAAAATCTGCCTCTGCTATTCAGAACGGTATTTTAATGTTAAAAAACAACAATTTTGTTGATTTTTTTAACAAAAATCCGCCTATGACATTTGGAACAGCATTTTAATATTAAAAAAACAACAAAATTTTTTAACAAAAATCTGCCTCTAACGTTTAGAATGGCATTTTAATGTTAAAAATAACAATTTTGTTATTTTTTTAACAATAATCCGCCTCTGACTTTTCAGAACAGCATTTTATTATTAAAAATTAATAAAAAATTAATTTTTTAATAATAAATGCCACCTCTGAATTTCAGGGTTGCATTTTTATATTAAAAATTATTAAAAATAAATTTTTTAATAATAAATGCTACCTCTAACTTTCGGGGTGGCATTTTAATATAAAAAATTAATAAAATTAATTTTTATTAATAAATGCCACATCTGACTTTCAGGGTAGCATTTTATTATTAAACATTAATTTTATTATTAATAAATGTTGCCTCTGATTTTTGGGATGGCATTTGTTATTAAAAATTAATAAAAAATTAATTTTTTAATAATAAATGCTGTGTCTGACTTTCGGAGTGGTATTTAAATATTAAAAATATTTAAAAA